ATAAGCCACCGTGCCTGGCCGGAAACTGTTATACTCATGGTTATGATTTATTACAGTGAAACGATACAGACTGAAGTCAGTAAAGGGAAGAGGCACCCAGGGCAGAATCCAGGACAGAGCAGGTGTGAGCTTCCAGTCATCCTCTCCCAGTGGAGTGACATGGACAGTGCTTAATTTTCCCAGCAATGACGTGTGACAGCATGCACAGTCTATTACGAACCGGGGAAGCTCACCTGGGCCTTGGTATGCAAGGTTTTTATTGGGGGCCAGTCCCATATACGTGGCTGATTGCTGGTGTGGCTGACTTCAGTCTCCAGCTCCTCCAGAGGTTGAGCCGGAGGCCTCCAGCATACATCACAGTGTTAGCATAGACTATGCCGCATGATCCAAGGCTCCAGATAAACAAAGACACTCTAATCAGGCAGGACATTCCCTGGGCTTAGAAGTTCCCTCCCAGGAGCTGATCAAGGGCCAAACCTTTCTCTGGACAAGGTGAATCTTCTACTGCACAACTACACCACCTCTCCATGCCCAAATAGCTCCCCGGTCTGTGCAGACAGGAATGGCGAACCTGTCAGGGTGTGTGGGATCCATGTTCTGAGTTGAACAGGGTTTGAATCAGGCTGGCAGTAGGGGAAAGCATCTGTTTAATTTTCCTCCATAATGACCTTGTTTTCTCAACTCACCCTGTGTTCAGGAGGTTCGTAAAGTCCTTGCCTCTGGTTTCTAACAGGCCTCCCAGAATGCTCAGTGAGTGTTCGTCACTTAAAAAGGAGCACTCTGGGCCGGGTGCGGTGGCTCACACCTGTAATCTTAGCACTTTGGGAGGCTGAGGTGGGTGGATCACGAAGTCAGGAGATTGAGACCATCCTGGCTAACACGGGTGAAACCCCATCTCTACTAAAAACACAAAAACAAAAAATTAGCCGGGCATGGTGGTGGGTACCTTAGTCCCAGCTACTCGGGAGGCTGAGGGAGGAGAATGGCATGAACCCAGGGGGCGGAGCTTGCAGTGAGCCGAGATCGCACCACTGCACTCTAGCCTGGGTGACACAGCGAGACTCTGTCTCAAAAAAAAAAGGAGCAGTCTGGCCAGGCATAGTGGTGCATGCCGGTAATCCCAGTACTTTGGGAAGCTGAGGTGGATGGATCTGAGGCCAGGAGTTCGAGACTAGCCTGGCCAACATAACAAAACCCCGTCTATTCCAAAAATACAAAAATTAGCCAGGTGTGGTGGTGCCCACCTGTTGTCCCAGCTACTCAGGAGGCTGAGGCACAAGAAGTGCTTGAACCTGGGAGGTAGAGGCTGCAGTGAACTGAGATCACACCACTGCACTCCAGCCTGGACGACAGAGCAAGACTGCCTCCAAAAAAATAAAATAAATACATAAATAAATAAAGCACCCTAAGAGGGAGGGGAGAAGGAAACCCAGAGTTCTGCCAGTGCCTGGTATGTGTCCCTGCAGGGCTACTTCCTCTCTCTCAGAGCCTGTTTTCTCATATGTAAAATGGGATAAGTCATTTCAAAGTTATATGATGTCATAAGGATTAATGTCACACACCACTATAGCTTCACTGAGCAGTACAGGACAAGAAGGCATCCCCTTCCTGCTGTGTGTCCCCTAATGTAACTGGACACAGCCGTTCCACTCGGCTGTCCTTGCTGGCAATGGCCTTCCTACCTGCTTCCCCACCATAATCCACTGTCTGTTTGGAGTAGGGATTTTCCCTTTCACTTTGCCAACATCCAGAAGTCCATTTCAAAATAAATTCCCATTCCTTGAAGGTCATTTCTGAAAAACCCCACTCCTGGTACCAATTACTGAAGAAGCCCAAAACCTTTGGTTGTAAGAACAATTCTGTACTTGGATTTCTCTGCAAGGCATATCAGCACATATGTGGCATTCAGATTGTGTTAGCTATGGTGTTGATGGTGTTGGACACACATGGTGGCAGCAATAGGATTTATTATTCTAATAAAAATTCACATTTGAACTACCATTTATTGGGAAGCATTGAGGTGTGATAGCATCATGGTGAAGACCATGGGCTTTGAAGCCAGGCTTCCCAGGCTTAAATCCTGACTCTACCACCTACCAGCTATGAACTTTGAGCAGGTGATTACAGGTATACTGATCTCAGTTTTCTTTTGTGGAAAACAGGGATAAATATGTTGCTAACCTCATGTAGTGCCTGGCAGGCTTAAATAACCTGACCCCTATAAAGTACTGAGATATCTGGTATGTAATCACCCCTCAAGATATGTTTGTTATTATCTTCCACATGTGATTTACCTTCTGCATTCCTTCAAACTACTATAAGAGAGAAGAACTGATTTTTCCTACTTGGGAAATGGGAAGTGTAAGGTTCAGAGTGGTTAAGATACGTTCCCAAGGCCACACAGCAAGCGTGATTTAAACCCTGACCTGCCTAACTGTGTCTTGCAGGGTCCCTGCTTCCTTGACCATCTCTGAGCATTTTGCAGGACCTTGGTGCTACCTCACATGTTGTGTTCTCTTATAGAGAAGCACCAAAGTCTAGTGATTAAGAGAATAAAATCTGGAGACAGACTGCTGGATTCAAATCTCAGATCTGTCATTTGTTACTTGTAAAGCTTTAAACAAATCACTGAATCTCTCTATGTCTCAGTTTCCTCATCTTTAAAATGGTTATGTAGAAATACTGGGCTGGGCACAGTGGCCACATCTGTAATCACAGCACTTTGGGAAGCCAAGGTGGGAAGATTGCTTGAGGCCAGGAGTTCGAGACCAGCCTGGGCAACATAGCAAGACCTCATCTCTACAAAAAAAATTTAAAAGTTAGCCAGGTGTGATAGCAAGTACCTGTAGTCCCAGCTTCTTGGGAGGCTGAGGTGAGAGGATTGCTTGAGCCCAGGAGTTCGAGGGTGCAGTGAGCTATGATCATGCCACTGCACTCCAGCCTGAGTAACAGAGATTCCATCTCTTTAAAAAAAAAATACAATACTTACCTTGTAGAGTTGTAGAACATATATTAAGTAATACGTGTAAAGTGCCTGGCACTTGGGATTGCATGGACAATTGCATGGCAAATATGAAGGGTTAACTCTTTGGGGACAGCAGAGGGAGGAGGTACTGTGACCCCATCCTGACCCCTACCTCTGTCCTCATTCTCTCCAGACATCTCCGTGAGCCTGCTGTCGGTCATCGTGACATTCTGTGGCATTGTCCTTCTGGGTGTCTCTCTCTTCGTGTCCTGGAAGTTGTGCTGGGTGCCCTGGCGGGACAAGGGAGGCTCGGCAGTAGGTGGTGGCCCCCTGCGCAAAGACCTAGGCCCTGGTGTTGGGCTGGCAGGCCTGGTAGGCGGCGGCGGGCACCACCTCGGTGCTGGCCTGGGTGGCCATCCTCTGCTGGGTGGCCCACACCACCATGCCCACACCGCCCACCATCCACCCTTTGCTGAGCTGCTGGAGCCAGGCAGCCTGGGGGGTTCTGACACCCCTGAGCCCTCCTACTTGGACATGGACTCGTATCCAGAGGCTGCAGCAGCTGCAGTGGCCGCTGGGGTCAAACCGAGCCAAACATCCCCTGAGCTGCCCTCCGAGGGGGGAGCAGGCTCTGGGTTGCTCCTGCTGCCCCCCAGTGGTGGGGGCTTGCCCAGCGCTCAGTCACATCAGCAGGTCACAAGCCTGGCACCCACCACCAGGTGAGAGAGGATACTTGGCTGGGGGTCCACTCTGAACTTCTGCTCCTCCTCTGTGTCTCTTTCCCATCTATGGTTCTTATGGGTTCGGGATTTGGAGGGAAATCGGGGTATCGACTCCTGGATCTTAGGGAAAGAGGAGGGTGGGGCCCTAGACTCCTGGCTCTGAGGGAGGTTGGGGCTATGGGGTCTAGACCCCTTGGACCCGAAGGAGTAGGGGACTGGGAGCCTGAATTCCTGGGTCCAGAGGGAGGAGACTGGGGAAAGGACTTCAGGACAGGAAAGTAGAGGAGAATGAGGTTGGATCCCCAAGTCCCTGTGGCACAAGGCAATTCACCCCCTTTCACTCTAAGCCAGGATTGGTAGTGGGACCTGGAGTTCCTTCATTCATTATTCCTCAATATACCTGTAAATGTATATTGAGCACTAATATAAACTAGGCCTGAGCAGGGTGTTAGGAAAACACCGGACTCTGCCCTCCTGTTACTCACAGTGCAGGGGAGGCAGCCCCCAGACTGGCTGTCCTGGTGTAGCTGGGCTGGTGAGGCAGGAAAGCGGCTCAGGGGACCAAGGCTGGGAGAAGGCTG